AATTGGGACTACCAACCCCACGATGGGGTTGTGGTCACAAATGCACAAGTCATGTTTAGTAGTGCACATCTTTTTTTAATAAATCCTCTTGAGAAGGATACGTTTCTTCTGTTTCAAAAAGACACTTTGGGGTTCCATTACACATTGAAATTAGATTGACTAARCATAGCATTTTTTTTTATTTAAATGAAASTAACAAGTGTGACAACCAACCCCGTTCTCCCCTACTTTTGTGAACAGATACGTGTAATTATAAACGCCCCAAAAGACAAGAAAAAAAGCAAAATTTCCCTAAATTATTTCTTTATTTACTTTGCCCACTTATTTTACTTTGGTCATATTAATTTCAGTAAAGATTTATTTGCATGTTCCTGCATCTTTTGGCAATCCAAAAAATTCCCTGCTCATCTTATTGAAGCTTGTCCTCTCCTACAGTATAAAAATAGTTTTCATATAACCTCCTAAAACCTGAGCATCCTGATGCTGAAGACATTTATTTTAGACTGGTTATTCAGGGGGACTAGATTTTATTTTTAAATTTATGTAACTCCTTATTGCAAATATAATAATAATAATAATAACAAGATGTCACCATCATAGTATATGTTGGAGATGAATCTCAGCTACTTCCACAGCAAACTGTGGCATAATATCTGTAAAACTAATTTGGATCATCATCAACTTTGGATGATGATAATGAAAAATATTATTTTTGACTATTCAGAGAGCTCTGCAAAATCTGTCCAAACTCAAATGCAGTGACAATTTTAAAGCTTCATCATCAGCAAATTTTTAAACCAACATTGTGCATAATGCATTATTGGACCATGTGTTAGCAATCAATCTCATCTACTACCAAACCAAACTGTAGCACATTATCTGTAAAATTGGCAAAACTGTAGCCGTTTTTGTGTTTTTATATACAGTTGGCTTTGACGGCCATCTTGAATTGGAGTTGAGCTGAAATTTAAATCAGTTCTAGAGGAACATCTAGTGATTATTTCCTGTAAGTTTGATTAAAATCCACCTGGTGGCTCATTAAATATTTTGCTAACAGACTAGACAGTCATGAAACACGAGGTGAAGTTTTTCACCTGAGGATGCGCCACAAAAAAAAGAAGGCGTGTCCCAGCTGAGCAGGACGATCCGACCAATCACAGAGCACCTCCGGTTTCCGCGTTTGTCCCGCCTCTTGAGGTGAGAGCTCGTGCCTTAGCTCCTCACCCTCAAACTGAAAACAAAGTAAGGTTTGGTGTTTTTAGCCGGATATCAGAGCACGTCACAGCCCGGGCCTGCTGCTGCTTTCTTCTTAGCCAGGAGGAGCCTCAGGTGGGCCTAAAGGACCAGTTTTTAGAGGACTGACCTCACTTTGTCCCGCTGCTCCAAGRAGACAGTCCTGAAGTCWTCATTATGGACCTGGACAGGTAAGRGACACAYAAAAACGTAATTTTTATTATTAAAACGCACACGTGCTGCTTTGAAAAGGGAACAGCGGTTTATTTTCTGCATGACTTCATCAGAWACACATTTTAATTTAATTTATTATTTATTATTCTGTAGTTTGATCACTTTGCAACGATTTCAACCAGCTTTTCTCATATTTTGAAAAATCTTATTGTCTCTCAAACATTCTTTATAGATTGATGGAAATGACAAAAAAAAAAAAGTCCAGCATTAAACAAATGAAATTAATCTACATATTAAACCTATTTCCTAAAATCTCATTACATTTCTTTAAACAGACTAATTAAACRAATGATATTTGTTTGAAATGATACAGACCAGACTGAGTCCTTCTCATATTTGTAAAAATATAAAATAAAAATAGCTGAATATTTACACTTGGAGATAAATGAAGCCTAAAGTTAAAAAAGAAAAAACCTTTAGGTACTTGCACTGTTAAATCGTTTATTAGATGCAGACCTTTAATTAATCTCTCTGCAGCAACCTGCCCTAAATCTTGYTGTGCTCTTTATTTTAATAAAGACTGCACTGTGTGTCCGAGAGCTGCAGAAACAGGCTAACAAACCATAAAAACTGATCCTTAAATTTTCCACACATGTGAGTGAAAACATGGTCTGGACCAGAAGTCATGTCTGCCCATGATTTCACACAGGCAGCCCTGCCTACGATTAGTCATTCGGCTTGACTTCATGCACACATTGCAAAACTTTTCAACAAGTTTACCGCTCAAAGTGCTTTTTTAAAAAATTTAATTAATAAATGTCTGAAAAAAAAAAGAGTCAGGCTCATGTTGGAGTTGGTCAAAGGTACAGGAAGAGCCGCAGGTTGCAGAAGTTACAGATGCTTCTGCACTCATACTGTAGTTGGTGAGACTGAGATGCTTTGTTCACCGTTGCCACAGCCCAGTTAGTTTGTGTTAGTGCCTGCAGCTCGTGCAGGTGGGGGGTAATTAGAGTGAAGTTTGATGAGAAACAGCCCGGGGCAGAGCTGTTGGCTCTCTGACAGAGTGACTTTGCTGCAACAACAAAGWTCCCTGCCTCTTCCTGTGCTCCTGTCGACTCAACAGTAAACGATTGGTGGTGGTGGTGCCGAACGAGGTGTCGGTGGCCTCCCGCCGAGTGTTCAGCAGCGAGGATGAGGCGTGGAAGAGCTATCTGGAGAACCCGCTGACTGCCGCCACCAAGGCCATGATGAGCATCAACGGAGACGAGGACAGCGCGGCGGCTCTGGGCCTGCTGTACGACTACTACAAGGTGCTGACAGCTCACCAGACAAACAGGAAACTTTCAATTGTTTGTTTATTAGTGTGACTGATGATTGTGTTCCTGTTTAAAAAAGATTTTTTGTAATCTACTTCTGCAAACTTCGATATCTTAGCTTTTCAGGTTATCCTGGAGGTCCATGCTGTGACTTTTTGTAACTCTTATTTTCAGGATATTTTAACTTTATTTTTATGATTATTTTTTCCATAAAAATGTATTGAGATCTTTAGAATTACTTCCCAAACATTGTTCTTTTTGACAGGAGCTTCAGCATATCTGCTCTGCTGTGGTCTCCTTATGCTACTTTTAGCTTTTAGCATGTTTTTTGCTTCTTTCAGCTAACATTATGCTGCTCATTGTTGGCCTTTTGGTGCTTTTAGCTTTTAGTTTGCCATTTTCTACTTCTAACCTTTAGTTACCATCTTGTTTCTTTTAGCTTTTTGCTAACTTTTAGCTGCTTTTAGCTTGCATTTTGTTACTTTTTGATGTTTTTAACTTTTCGTATGTTTTTAGATAGCATTTTGTTACCACTACTGCTACGTTTAGCTTTTGGCTAATCTTTTGCCTTTTTCAGCTTGCATTTTGTTACTTTTAGTTTATAATTATCATTTTATAAGTTTTTGTTGGCTTATTGATTCTTTTATCCTTTTAGTATGTTTTCCTACTTCTAGCTTTTAATTAGTATCTTGTTTCTTTTAGCTTTTTGCTGCTTTAAGCAAGTATTTTGCTATTTATTGCTGCAACTTTAATGCTTTTAACTTTTACTTTATCTTTGCTTTTATTCATTCATTTATTTATTTATTTATTTATATTTTATTCATTCATTAAAACTAAAAAGAAAAATCTATGTACAAAAAACATCTAATTTATCTATTTTTGCTACTTAGTTAGGTTTTTGCTACTTTTAGCTAAGGTTTTGCTACTGTGTGTAGTGTTGCATCTTTTATCTCCTAATTATTCTTTAGTTTCTTTTTTTTAATTTAACTCCTCAGTTCTCGCTTCTTCATTGAATTTCAGCAGTCTTTCATTAGATTTCTCATTTCTAACTTTCTTCTCTGATAGATTCCCAGAGAGAGGAAACGCACATCCAGTGGCATTACTGACACATCTGCTGTTGCGTCTCATAATCATGGCGGTCAGGACCTGCTGGATCCCAGCTGTCACACTCTGAGGTCCATGCCAGTCAACCTCTCCCTGAACAACGGCGCCTCTGCAGAACTTCACGGCTCCAAGCAGGGAGCGCAGAGCCTCGCAGGAGATCCCAGAGGARGAGGTGGGAAAGGTGGGGGCAGTGCACCGCTTGCTCTGGTCAAATCAGAAGATCAGACCTCCGTGGCAGTCCCCTGTTCTGGTGGCTCTTATCAAGAAGAACCTAAAGGGCAGATGAGGATGGTTTATGAGCAGAACCGCTATGATCTGGGCCTCAGTGGTTACCTGAAAGATGAACAAAGCAGCACTCCAGACAGCACGTATGATGGATCTGTGGAGGAAGAGGTTAGGCTTAAAGATTGGTTCAGGTGGTTTTATGTTTGCTGTAGACCAGTGGTTCTCAATCCTGGTCCTTGAGGGCCACTATCCTGCATGTTTTAGCTGTGACCCTTGAGAACCAGGGTTGAGAACCCTGGGTCACATACAGTTTATAATCCCCCGACTGGATGTGTGTCTACATTTTATTATGTCTTTTACAGATTTATCAGAGAAGTTCTTCCTCAGGAGCAGATGCCTCCAATTATAACCTACCAGCGTAAGTTAGCACTCACACACACAATGAATAAATGTGCAAATAAAAGTTTAACAATTACATGTGCCGAAGAACACAAATTTTATTTTTTTATTTAGATAGGACAATGCACATTAATTGATATTTCTGTAAATGTGCCAGAGTTAGCCAAAGGCTAGTTTCCATCTGTTGTCCCTAGACTTGATAAAAATAAGAAAGGTCATACAAAACAAGGTTAAAATGACTCAGCTACATACAATTAGTCAATAATACAATAAAATACAATCAATACAAATGATTAAAAAAAAATTACACACAAATTAAAAAAAACGTTGAATATTTTTAAAAGTATAAAAGTTACAAAAACAAAAGTCATGGCACATTATTCTTAATCAAGCTGAACATTTTAAGATGAATGATTAAAATAATACAAATACTGCAGANCGCCGTGTCCCGCGCTCTTCCAGACAGGGCCAGGGCGACAGCCAGCGCTTGCTTTTTCGACTCCAAATCTGTAACTCTCGTCCAAATGTTGACTTCATTCTTCCAGCTTTCGTAAGGCTTTCCTTCCTCAAACGTTGGCGGAACTCTGTAGTTACTAACCATCCTCTGCTACCAATGTTAACTAAAAGAAATAACTAGTTTCTTTACTCAGCTTTATTCCGCCATGTGCATCCCCCGAACAGACATACAGAGAGCGACGAAGAAGAACACAAACCCAAAACACATGCTCCTGGCATAACAGTGCCCCTAGTGGGTGGACATGTAATACAAATAAAACAAAGGAGTAACAGATAATGTAAGATAAACCTTTATTGTCATTGTACAGAACACAATGAAATTACAGTTCAGCACACCCATTCARAAGAAGACAGAACATAACAAACATAGGAGACCAGGTGCCCCGGGTCATGCAGCAAGTAAACACAGTTTTAATCTGTTTCTCAATTTGCTAACATTTGTTTATTATGTAAATAAGCAAACATTCAAAAAATATTAATAAGTAAGTAAGTAAAAGTTTATTTATATTTCACCTTTCACAGACATAAAGGGTCACAAAGTGCTTTACAAAGGTGCAAAGATATACAGAAAAATAAAACAATAAAAACATCAGCAAGAACATAAAACAATAGCCAAGAAACAGACAACACACTGGAATTGTTAGAAGGCTTTATAGAAAAGGATAGTTTTAAGTTTGCTCTTAAAAGCAACCACAGAATCAAGTGAACGTATTGAGAGTGGAAGATCATTCCAGAGCCTTGGAGCGATGGCCTGGAAGGAGCGATCACCTCAAGACTCAAAGTGAGTGAAGGGGACCGTTAAGAGATTCTGATCTGATGACCTCAGCCCTCGAGAGGGTAAATACGGGCACAACAGGGCTTTAATATATAAGGGAGCCTGACCACGGAGAGCTTTAAATGTTAGTACCAGGATTTTAAACTTAAAACGAAAAACCACTGGGAGCCAGTGGAGTGATTTTAGAATCGGGGTAATATAAACCCTTCTGTTGGTGAGGGTCAACACCCTTGCTGCTGCATTTTGGACCAGCTGTAAATGAGACAACTCCTTATTAAGACAGGAAAAAAAAGGCTATTACAATAGTCTAAACGAGAGGACACAAAAGCATGAATGATCAACTCTAAATCATCTTTGGAAACAACTCTTCTAAGTTTGGAGATATTTCTAAGCTGAAGGGATCAGTTTCTAGTGAGTTGTTTGGAATAGTGTTGTAGTGACATCCCTCTGTCAAAAATCACACCAAGATTTCTAAGGTTAGATTTGGCATAAGAGCTCAGATCACGCAGATACTGGTAGATTCTTGGAACAGCAACATCAGGAGCAATCACCAGCACCTCAGTCTTATCAGAGTTTAACTGAAAAGAATTAGCGCCAAGCCAGTGTTTAATTTTAACAAGGCAGTTCTTTAAGGAGTCTAGTTTATGAATCTCAGTGGACTTGAAGGAACAATATAGCTGGATATCATTTGCAAAAAGATGATAAGAAACATCATCAAACTCCTGAATGATATTACCCAGCGGAAGGACATTTAACAAAAATAAAATAGGTCCCAACACAGAACCTTGGGGCGCTCCACACAACAAATCAGAAGAATCAGAGAGGAACTGATTAATCGAAACACTAAAACTCCTACCGGACAAATAAGATGAGAACTAAGCTAGTACAGAACCTGACGGACCAATCAGCTCACTCAGTCTTCTCAACAAAGTTTCTTGAATGACCGTGTCAAAAGCTGAAGAAAGATCCAACAGCACCAAAACAGTGCATTTCCCAGCAYCCACAGACATCAATATGTCACTTGACTCTTTGATCAGGGCAATTTCTGTGAAACGATGCTTACGAAAACCAGAATGAAAATGGTCAAACACGTCAGAGCTTTCTAAAAATGCAATAAATTGTTCAGAAACCACCTTCTCTAAAAGTTTGGACAAAAATGGAAGTTTAGAAATAGGCCAGAAATTATTTAACACAGTAGAGTCCAAATTAGGTTTTTTGAGGAGAGGTTCAACAAAAGCATGCTTAAAAGAGCTGGGGAAAATGCCAGAAGACAGGGACAGATATATTAACTTGGTAACCCAAGAGCCAATGACATCAAACACTTTCTAACCTAGCTGTTTTTTTTTTTTTCATTTTTTATATACATTTGAAATCTAATTACTTGTACATATGTTGTGCTATTTTAGCCGTTCTTATCCAGCTCATTCAGGAGAGAGTTGCTATGACTTTTGTTTTTCTGTATCTGTGTCACTTTTCAAAAATTTCCTCTATATTTACAAATAATAATCTTCATAGAAATACACTGTGATCACTCCAAAAACTCTGCTTCAGCATATTTGCCCTATTTTGGTCATTTTAGCTTGTATTTTCCTATGTTTAGCTTTAAGCTAGTCTAAAACTACTTTTAGCTATTTGCTACCCTTTTGCAATCTTCATTTGTAGTTAGGTTTTTGATTCTTTTAGCTTTTAGTTGGCATTTTGCCAGTTTTTGTTTTTGGCTGACATTGTGATACCTTTTTCTTTTAATAAGCATTTTTTATAATTTTAACTAGCCTTTTGCTACTTTGAATCTTTTAGTTGTCCTTATGATACCATGTATTTACATTTAGCTACATTTAGCTTTTGGCTACCCTTGTTCTACGTTTAGTTACCATTTTTTTAGTTTTAGCTGGTGTTTTGKTACAGTTGTCTTTTAGTCAGGGTTTTGCTGCATTTTGTTAATGTTTTCTTCTTTCAGCTTTAATAATCCTGTTTTGGCTTCTTGAACAAATTTCTCCAAAACACTTAGACTTGTCTTTCACACTGCAGTTTATCAGAAAATGCAGTTTCTCTGGTTTCACTGTGAGGGTCTAAGAGTTGTCGGGTGGTCTTACTTCATACTTGTGCTCCTGCAGTAACAGTTTCAAGTACAGCCTGGAGGCCAGCATGTCTCTGCGGCCGCGGCAGGCAGACGGACCCATGGCTTACCTGAATCGGGGCCAGTTCTACGCTCTGACGCTCTCTGAGACGGGCTTCAGGCCATCCCTCGGTCAGCCCAGGGGCAGAGACTGGCCAAGTGGAGCCGCACAACCACAGAGGCCTGATGGGAAATTGTCCAGCTGTGAGCGGTGGACTAGGGGCAGCGCCGACCTGCAACAGGACAGTGTGGTACAGGTGAGGGGGCGGGGTTTATATATCCAGAGGCTAGGTGTGAAGCTGTAAACATTCTGGTCTGATAACCTGTGTGTGTAGAGTGTTATCATGGTGGTCTTTGGAGAGGACAAGTCCAGAGATGAGCAGCTAAAGAACTGGAAATACTGGCACTCTCGTCAGCCCACTGCCAAACAGAGGGTCCTGGATATCGGTAAGCTTCTGAGAAGTTTATTCATTTCATTTAAAACAAAATAACTATATACAATAGAAGGAAAAAATATACAAATTAAATAAAATGAAAGGTAGCAGAAAGAAGAAAAAATCTTATAATATCTGCCCAGTCTTTTACAAAAAATAAACATCAGACATATCCAAGCAAGAGTGATTTCCAAAAAAACACAGCTAAACAAATTGGTTATCTCCCACCACAGAAGAAAGGGGGACAATGTTTTTTTATGTGTGTGTGTTTTTTTAATATAATTAGCAAAATATCATGATTCACACAATGGAGTCTAATGTAACTTACAGAAATGAATAATCAAATGTCTACAGCTTTGGGCTCAACTTAATCCAAGATGGCCATCAAAACAACTGACCTTCACACAAACATAACTATAAACTAGCTAAAATTTGGTGTGATGTTAGCTTGTCCCCAACACATCTTTGCTTCAAGGGGGGTATTATGTATTTCCCAGGCACATAGTTTAATTCTATGTCACAATRAATTACTATATTAACTTCTTTTGTTATGAAAATACTGTATATATCAAAAATAAAATTGAGTTTGCATCATAGCCTATCTAGATGCCTTGAAATTGGCCAGCATTTCTTCAGGGGAGGGGTGCTTTGTGGGGGCAGGCGCTCRGCTGCAGACTGACTCTGGATTTTGCAGATTTGGAGCTATAATTTGGTGTGCTAGTAGCTGAGAGTCCAGGTTCTTGCAAATCATAAGGGAAATCAAATGTGAATGAACATAACCTTATTTCTGAGGTTTCAACAAAATGACTATAACTAGGGGCGTAAATCACCAGCTTTATCACGATACAATATAACATCAGTATGTTTGGACGACGATTCAATATTCCTCGATTTCGCAAAGTCTGTCACGACACGATTTTGATTCAATTCACATGTCTGCRATCGATATAATGTGATATCATATGCCCATTTAACACAAGCATATGATKACGATGTAGATYGATATTTTCATTTTTGCCTCGATRTAACTGAATCATGAACCATTCAAATCGATATATCGATATTGATCGATATATYGTTACATCCCTAACTATAACGTCGTTTCCCAATTTAAAATCTTAGCTACAAAGTTCGTCGGGCAGCTGAGGCTGAGTGGTTAGTGGCATCGCCTCCAATGAGAGGTTAGGGGTTCGATTCCACCACTATTCAGTCACATTTCAAAGTGTCCCTGGGCAAGACACTGAACCCTRCCCGCCTCTGATGTGTCCATYAGTGTATGAATGTGATTTAAAGCACTGACTAGTGCTGATCTRTAGRTTAACTTTGTAGAGTTCTKTGTGGATGGGTAAATGAGGACACAGATTGTAAAGAGCTWTGAGTATCCTGGTGAGATAGAAACGTGCTATGTAAGCACARTCTATTCACCATTTATTAAAATCAGTGGGTGACATGCATTCCTGTAAGGAATTCTATGTGTTCAATTTTTTGGTTTTTCCTCAGCGCCACACACCCTSCAAGGTAAATAGAGAGTGAACAGGTGGTGAACCTGCGAGAAAATCCCATCACGTATCCTGAGGTGAAACCTGATTCGGTTTGAATAACAGTTGATCATGGATTCCCACAGGAGCGCTGTGAAGAGAAACAGCCACATTTGCATAGATGTTAGGAGGAGGAATAGGTGAAGGCCTGGATGGGAGCCATATCCTGTACGATCAGCCGCAGACAGGCCTCAACCTGTGGTTTCAATCTCAAAGGAATGAACAGAACTGGGTTTGTGTGTGTGGCAAGTCTGGACCATTAGTGGTGCTGGCACAGACTTGCTATAAAGCTAAGTAGTTGAGTGGAAATTAGTACGACTTGAGTTCATAGGAATWTTTTTTCTGTAGTTGGAAGAGGGTGAAAACATCAGATGTCAGATTTTTATTTAGCTTCAGATACTGACTGYAAGATAAACAGGTACCAGATAAAAAGATTGATCTGATAAATGAGGCTGTTTATTTAAAGACTGAGTACTTTTACATCAACTGAGCAGAAATAGAACATCAGAAACATAYATTTATTTTATTTATTTGATAACAGAGACTAACTGTTAATGTGTCTTACTGCCAAAATATCTCATGAATAACAGAGTTGTAGTCGTTTAGGTCAACGTTGTGAGCCATTGTGTCATACTGAGCCATGCCACACCAGTATGTGTTGTGAATGACTCTCAGCTACCAGCACATCAGATTGTARGTCTATATCTGTAATATTGACTGAATTATAGGCATTTTTATGTTGGCTAGGGTTGATTAGCTGTGGCAGCCATCTTGAATTTCATTCACCCCAAAAGGAAAACAGTTGTAGATCTGCATCCAAGGATTACACAATGTTTTATTAAAATCCATTCAATGAGTTGTGAGATATTTTGCTAACAAGACAAACAGGTTTGACTTTAACAGTTAGTGTTGATGTTTTAAGCCAATTAAAGTGTGTGTTGTCAATTGTCAACTGCACCTAAGTTTGCAGAATATCTGTATAATTATCAGTTATATTTATTTTTGTGTTTTCTAAAGTGTTAGTTACAGCAGCCATCTTTAATGGGGTCGGCTGCAAAATCAAGCCAGATACAGATAGAGGCAAAAACATTGACTGTGTTCACCTGTTCAAACATTGAGGAGACACTTCCTCCTCTAACAGCCACCTGAAAACGGTTCTTCCTGTTTTCTCTTGTTGCCTGCAGCTGACTACAAGGAGAGCTTCAGTACGATCGGGAACGTRGAGGAAATCGCCTACAATGCTGTGTCTTTCACCTGGGATGTCAGCGAGGGAGCCAAGGTAACGAACAGCAAACAATCCAGAAGAGGAACACCGAGATTTGGCTGTTTTTTATTGTTATCTTGGAAAGGTCACCCAAAATGTTGTGTTTATGCTCACAGCTGTTTATCAATGAGCTGTTGATGCTGCCTAGTTTCAWAGCCACATATCAGGCCCTCCTGTTTTTTCTTACCCCAACTCTTTGTCTTGTRTGACAAGAGGAGCATGTCCTGCTTTCTTTGGGGTTCGGCTTACTCACTGGACCCGTGATGACAAGGGTTGTAACGAGGTCTTGTTGAGTTGTAAACTGTCCTGTAAAGGTCTATTAAGTCGAAGTGAGCGAGAAGTCCTTGGGTGAAATAACCTCTGTCAACATGGTTTCGATGGTYTTTGATATAACTTGTGTCACCTGGGATGGATCATCATAGCGACCAAATCAACCAAATCTTCTGCCACGTTGTTTTCTAACCAAGGCAAACACAACCCAACGAAGGTCAAATAAGTGAAATAAAGTCACAAAACMCTCACCATCCTCTCCACAGTTTCCAAAATTTTTGTAGCCAAATCGAACCCAACTTTTCCCTCCATTGGTTGGATCCTGTAAATTGAGTCACTTTGGTCTGATTTCAGACAGAAATCCTCACACATGGATATGTATTTTTAAAAAGTAAATAAAAACAAATGCTGTGGTTGTGCTTTTAAAAWTGGTGGGTTYGATTCTAGTGRAGGAGACGCTCTCGTTATTGACGTTTCTCTCTGACCAATCAATGATAGTCTCTAATCTGCTGATGTCACATCTTCTGGTCCACCTGGCTTACTTGGAAACCTGTCTGAGTACTGTAGGTCTTAAGAACTGAACTGGAAGCGGGAGTGATCAGCCACTGGAAAGCCTCGAGYCGAGCCCATGGAAAAAGGCCATTAGATGTTCATTCCTCTTTGAATAGTTTGTGCGGCAGCAGTTCAGACATGTCAARCACAAGGACCAGGAGGGTCACGTCCCCCAAGCCTTAATGAAGGAGCAGCATGCCCTACCCTCCTGCAGCCTTTGCTGCTACGTGCTGAGAGGGAGCATCTATTGCACATTTAAAAAAAAACAGAACAGGCTTGGTGCTGAGCTCACACATTACAGTTTGAACCTCTAATCTGATCTCTGACATTTGGGAAAAGAGTCGATCAAACTTTGAGGTGAAGGTGGAGTMACCAAATCAGACTAGTGTTTTTTTGACCAGAAATCATGGACCCCTTCTCCTGAACAAGCTAAGCATTATATGTAATTCTGTTATCCTAACATTGACACGGTCTGAGAACTGGACTCAGATTTCACTTCTGTACAAACATGTAAATACTTCACCCCCGTGCAGAGTCCTCGTGCTGTTTTGAACTCTTTGTCTCCCATCAGGCTGTAACTTTGCACAGAACTGGACTGAAATAATTTTAGGGTAAATATTTACACAATTTCACTATACAGAAGTTTTAATTTTATTTTAGGACACTACAGCATCACTCTAACCAAAGATTGAGCAGTTTRTTGCATCTCATAGAGCTGATTTTTACCACCTGCTGCCAAAGGTGAAGCGGTGATAATGTTTTTGCCTTTGTGTGTTTGTCCGCGTTATCAAAATATCTCATGAATCAGATTAATGGACAGGTTTTAATCAAACACTCATAAAGTAGTTATTGGATTCCAGGGTGTCTGCAGGTCCTTAAACATCCCTAAAAAGTCTTAAATTCACATATCTAAAATTAAGGCCTTATAAAGTCTTAAATTTGTTAAAAAGTGTGCAAGTTGGTCTTAAATTTGTTACTCAGAGGTCTTAAATTTTGTCGGGCAGAAGCAATTAAAGTTGCCTTCTAGAAGGATCACAAATCATCAATCAGTATGACTACATGAGCTATAATGATATTCCCTTAGAATGAAATGTTGATTTTTAGGGGAGAAATCTGTCAAACACACAAAAAATTAATTAATTT